AATACTTAGCTTGTGACTAAGAGTACATAAAAAGTTAGGCTCACTTGCCTCTTGTTTGGATGCATGATAGCCAATTGAGTTGTGGCACATTTTAAAGCATCATGATGCTTGAATTTACCGGACGACCTTACTACATCATAGGTCTTTGCTAAAATGGGGAGAGTTTAGTGGCCTATGGTATGGTTTCACCAACATTTTAAGGGGAGCGTTAGGGACACTTTCTTTAATACTCTTTTTTGGACACTTTTCATAAGATTTGGCCACGTAATACATAGATTTAATACAATGATATATTGCGGGGGGGGGGGGTGGAGTTAGAATCTAGAATGGAATTGAAGCAATAAAGAAGTTTTCTAAGAAATTGTAAACAAAAATTTGAGTTTGATTTTATAAATTTCATTTTTTTTTTTTTGAACATGGGAGAATTTTGGAAAATGAGGGAATTTTTTCAAGTAATTGGTAGGAGTCAAATTTTCGACAAATTAAACCTAAATACTAAAGCTTGGGGAGGAACTATTGGGTACGAAGGTTTGGTTCATGACCTTGATTTGTTTTAAGGAAATAAAGAGTTATATATGTAAAATTAAAGAGATCAATAGTTAAAATTAAGATTATTTGAGGAGACACTGCTTCTTAACAAATCAGAGCTGTGTTATGCGAACATGAGCAGAATGGATGGATGAGTGAGGAGATCCGACCCATGCAAGTCTTCCACGATGGGTGATAGTAGATAGACTATGGCTAAAAGGTGAGAGGATTGGTGTCAATAGAACAGATGATGGAGGTCCGATGATGTTTTCACCGAAGTTGTCAATACTATATCGGTATGTATATCGGTTTTGTTACTGAAATGGTACATATAGAAAATCAAAATTTTTTGCGTACTGTTTTAGATTTATCGCTATAAATATATATTTTTATAAATTAAATATCAAATTTTAAAATAAGATATAAAATACTAATGTTTAAAACTATTATATTCTTATAAATTGAAAATAAATTTAAAATAACCATTTTTAGTTCCTCAACTTCTAATATATGCATATTTTTCGACTATCCATTTTAACTTAAGAGACTAAAAATGTGTATATTTAGACAGACTTAACGGAGTTATTGATAGAAGGACTAGAAAAGATACATTTTTCATAGTTGAGGGACTAAAAAAATACATAAAAAAGTTAAAGAAAGAAAATTATGTAAAACATTAAAGTTGAGGACCAAAATGGAATTTACCCTTTTAAAATTTGAATGGAGTTCTATCAGTCAATTTTCATGTATCGACCGATACACTGAAATATCGGTCAATACACTAAAATTTGATCGAAATGGATGAAATTTGATCGAAATGAAATTTGATCATTTATCATTTTAGTTTAATGTAAAAACCGATACGTATCGGCCGTATCAATTAGTACAATATGGTATCAATAACATTAGTTTTCACCTTAAATCTTGAGATTTGTAAAATGTATCTATAGTTTTTAAGTTTTTGATTGATTTAGTTTTATGTTTTTCACTTCTTCTTTTTTTTCTTTAAATTTGTAAATAAACGGACAAGCTAATCCTACTTCAATAATCTTAAAAAAGTGATCTTGCAATATCGGCAAACATCCATTTCTTTTTTTAAAATTATTACTTAACTAAAGGG